AGAGAAAGGAAAAATTTAAATCTCATCATATGACCCCTTTAAGGAATAAATTAAAGGGTATACAAATACATCAGTATGTTCTCTAAATGCCACTTCCAACCTATCTCCATTACTTTTTCATTAATTTTACACATAAAAATAGCTTAACTAGAATATGGAAATAACTTTTATTGTATCTTCTGATAACACTGTACAAAAATTATGTTCTTCCTTTATTTTTTTTGTAGTTTGAGTTAATTAAAAAAAAAGTAGATGCAGCAGTGACATAAGAAGTCTTGTTTCTGATAATTGTATCAACATGAAGTGAATTTATGATAAAAAGGAAAATATTAAATCCAACGGACGCAGAAAAATCAATTAATTTCCTTAATTTTGTTCAATTTCTCAAAAAACAAACAAACAGAAAAACAAGACTGCATATCTTCAGTTTGCATCTCATGTAAATGGATAAGGATGTTTAGACACTTGTATTGGAAAATAGGACAAAAATACAATTTATAATTTTTGCAGTAAATACAACATTTAATGCCATGACTTTCTGCTCCAATTTAAGACCTAAGTCCTTAATTCGTGGAAGGGCAAATTAAGACATTTTAAGAACTTTTCAAGGATGCGCAGAAACCCTGAAAACAGCAGGGATCCAAAAAAAAAAAACAACAACAGGGAAAAGTCAGAAGCATCTAGCCCGTTGCATCCATTTCTCACCCTGTTTTCTGTGTTTGATCTGTTTCAGGGTCGGTAAGATCAGAGCTCGCCCGTGACATCAATGAATGGCACACACACATTATCAAGGCCATTATTAGCAAGTTCTGGGCGACTGACCCGGTGTCTGGGGCTCAGACGACGCTGTACTGCGCACTACAAGAGAACATCGAGCACCTGAGCGGACGATACTTTTCTGACTGTCAGCTGGTGCAAGTCAAGCCTGAGGCCAGAGACGATGGAATCGCCAAAAAACTGTGGGACGTCAGTGAGAAATTATGTGGCATGGCTTGAATACACAGGCACACACATTGCTGTGAGAAAAGTACTGTAATATCTTGATTTTGGTATTTTTTCTTTTGGTATATTACGTGTCCTTCAGGCAGAGTCAGAAATATCATAATTACAAGTTCTGAGCACACAAGTGAGTGGAAAGCAAGTCTGTAACCAGTGCTGTTAATCACTCAACTATTTAGTTTCACATTTAGTTGTGATTGAAATAATCTTTTCATAATCAAATTAAAAATTGAGAAATATAAAACTATTAATTTAAAGTTGTTGATTCTATCTATATAAATCATATATTTTAAGTGTATAGCAAAATATGCATACATATACAAATATACATATATGTGTGTGTATACATATATATTAATGCCTATTTTGAGACCGTATAGTGAGACCAACTGGATTATGTCATTTGATTTGGACTCAATTACATAATTAATGCATATTATTGCAAAATATGCATATGATATATATGTGTGTGTTATATATATATATATATATATATATATAT